AGGAAAAACATCCAAACATGATATTAGGAATTAAAATAACAATCTAAACATGATTTCTATATCATAATATCAATTAAACAATTAAAGCACTTACTTGGATGCCTCGTATCTCTTTCTAATAACAAAATTTACACGTTAGTAATTTCAAGGAAAATAATAAATCAAAACTATTAAATTAAATAATTAAAATAGGATTTGGGACCAAACCCTCAGAAATACCAAACCTTTCGCGTCTAGGGCGAAGTCAACTTTGAACTTGGCTAGGTGTGTCTAGTGCTAATGTATGAGGAATTGTGTTTGTAAAAGGGTAGGCTAGAAAAGAGAGAGAGAGAGAGAGAATAAGATTTAGCTTAGAGAGAGAGAGAGAGAGAGAGAAAAAAATTAGAGAATTCTTGTTATTGAAAAATGGAGGTCCAAGGACTTTGTTTATAAGAAAATAGTTCGAAATTGATAGAAACGAATCAGAGTTCGAAAAGGAATAAAACATGCCTCTTTCGCCAACGATATGGCGTGTCGCTAGGTGACAAACCTGTTGTTTGGCGATACAGATTGTTTTCCAAATTCCGTACGAAGGGTAAAATCGTAATTTCATTTAAAACACTTCTATTATTCCAAATAAAACTCATAAAACACAATTATCAATCCTAATCCCATTAGGATTTAAAAGAACCTTCTAGAAGTTTCTAGAAGACTATAATCAATCCTAATTGCATTAGGAATGTGTAAGGAGGGTGATCCCATCGTAAGGGGTACTCTTTGTAAATGCCCATGGCCACTTAAAAGACTAGGACTTTACACTTGTTAGGGTGTAGTAGGATTTGAATTCCTGACTGTTTGGGGGACCTTGAATTAGAATTGATTCTATCATTACGCTTTTTTGTAAGAAACAAGTAGGGAGTCGCCAATGAGTTTTAGGAAGAACTCATAAACCTCATTTATGTCTTTCTTCCATGTGGAGTTCATGGAATAATTAGCACGAATCATAAGTTTACCCATGCCCAAATTGGTCTATAAACCAGAAATGAGTTCGGGAGCGAGGGTACTAAAATAAAGTTCCCTTTAGAGGGGAATGGCCATCCTAGCCCTAGTGTGGCCTCTACTAGCTCTTTCTTTTTTACAATTTCATCACCAAACAATATATACAACGCGATACCTAAAACTATGTCAGTTGATTTTATTTACGAACATTAATTCACGTAGGAATTACATCGTAATGTCGTTATTCTTATTTAATAAAATTCGTGAAAAGAACAAGAAAAATAAACAATATTCGCCTTGGCTTAAGTGATCAACCAACAATTATTTAATGAAATTCTAATCTTTATTTAACGCAAGATACTATGTGGAATTGATTATTTAATTATTTTAAAGGTGATCAAACAACAATAATTAATTAATTAAGGTTCCTTTAAACAAGAAAATAAATGTGATTTGACTAAGTGCTCGAGAATTTACCACTTCTCTTTGCTAGATCTCCATTTAGAACACTTATGGACTCCTTGTTGGGGAACCTCCACCGTAGTAACAAAATATCAAAAGGGTGAGTGTTTAGGACAAGAGGGGCTAGGTTGCACAAGTTCACAAGTATTTCACCAGATATTTGGGTTATTTGCAGTCTGTTTAAGCCTTGGTTTAAGCTCTTATTTATAAGGAATAATTAGGTTTAGGGTTTTGAACATTTTGCCGCAGCAGGTGTCTTGCGCAACAGGATGAGTTGCGCGCGGCATCCCAGCCCAAGTGATTAGGTTGCGCTGCTATGGGAAGTGCAACTAATTGTCTTGCGCGTGGCTTTATGGTAAGATTCGATTTCATATTTTTTGTATAATTCTGAATCTTCCGCAGCGCAGCTCTGGAGGTTGCGCTGGGTGTCGCGCGCAACTGAATTAGTTGCGCGCAGCAGCCCAGTGCGATTGTTTGAGATGCGCACGACTTTTCCTACGACAACACTAAGATTTAACCTAGGCGCTCCTAAATCCGTCATTATTAGGTTTTAAGCACGGGCTTAAGCCTAATTATGACCGGGTTTAGTTAATTGGACCTTTGTTTTGGCTTTTATTTTTAATTTGGGCTAGTCTTTTGTGTTTTGTGGCTTAACCAGTTATCCATAAGTATTCTTCACTTTGATCCAACACGAAGATGGTTTTATTTATCGTCATTGTACTTCCTGCCGGGACAGGAGGCCAAAATTAGATGTCTACAGAATGATAATTTATTATAGGCCCTCCTCTAGATCATTGGGCCGCATATAAAAACCAAACCGGACCCAGTTTAATATTTTGGCCTTAACTTCCTCATTATGCATCGGAATTGGGCTTATAATTTATTGTTGGAAAGCTCTTTTCAAGCCCCATCAAACTACACTATTATTGGACCCATATCATGGACTAAACAAAACAGAAAGAAGAGATATTTTAATAAAAACATCCTCATCACTAGACTTTTCACTCTTTCACTTTGTTCGATAATCAAATGACATGAAAGGTATTCATCACTGGGTTTGGTTTTTGGGAGACACATTTGGGTGTGTACAGCTACCCTACCCAATAACCACCTCTACTTACCACCTAATCCAATCCAAAATTGGCAAGATATACAAATACAATTTCTTTGTCATGCTAGGGTTGAAGCAGGAGTTACTATAGGTGATTTGGCTAAAATTGTTCAAGAAAAAGGAGAGTATGTAGGAGACTACATTCTAAGATTTGAAAAATGCTAAAATTAGATGTCATTTTAAATATACCCGAATCAGAGTTTGTGTCTATTGTCCAAAAGGGTTTATCCTTTCCTTTTAGGAAGAAGTTTAAAGGGAAATTCTTTCCTGGTTTTGTTGCACTATCAATTATCTAGCACTGTGATGGTTTAAGAAATATTTTGGAATAAGATTCTAGGTCTAAGAATAAGTATTATGCTAGCATGGTTCACATGGAAGAAAAATGTGACTAGGAAGAAGATTTGTATGAGGAAACAATAGCTTAATTTGAACAAGGTCCTTTGTTCAAATGTCCACATTTAAATAACAAAAAGTTTACTTTAAAATCTGACAAAAAAAGAGTATACCTTTGATATTAGGAGAAGTGATGAGATTTTTTATTGGTGGTTAAGTCATAACAAAATTAAGTTAGTAGGGAAATATAAAACTAGAAGTCAAGTCGTTGATGTGATTAAAGAAAAAAGTTACAATAAATGGCGTGATGCTTGTACTCATAAGACTAGCAAGATGAAATAATATTCAAGATGAAATAGAGAAAAAAACATATAAACTTTTCAGATGAGAAAGTTAACTCTAATTTTGTGAGTTAGAATCTCTAGGCGTCATTTGAAGTGCGCCTACGTTAAGCATGATGTGAATATGCTTGTCACTCATAGAAAGTGTGAATAGACATATGATTAGGGACAACGATTAGGAACAAAGAAAAGTAGGGAGCCACCAACAAGTTTTAAGGAGCTTGTAAACCATTCACGGATCATTATAAGGCAACCACGATAAGGGACAACGATAGGCAACAACGATTGACCCGGGAAGGTTACACCCCATTCATAATCTACGAGATTACTGACTCCATATGGTTTGGAACCACGAAAAGAGGATTGGAGGATAATGGTATGAAGTAAGTCATGGAGTCACATTCGCCCGTATAAGCCTCTACTAGATTCTTATTGTGAAAAGTAATTACTGCGATCTGAAAGACATGAAAACAAAGATTCAATTTGCTCCAAACTGTTATTAGGCTAAATTGGTTGAATATTAATACAACACATAAGTTTAAAATATTGTGATCACTTCGATTAAATAACAAGATTAAAAAGGACCCTAAATCGGTCGTCCAAATTATTTTATTAGGCGTTATAATCAATTACATATTCCCTATAAATATGCAATATAGTGGTTAACAATAAACAATAAAATAAACACCAACATTGGATGAAATTTAACAATAATATCTTTAGCCAAATCAAATAATAATAAACCTAATCATGATACTAGCAATATAAAATAAAATAAGTAATTAAATTAGTTAATTACTCACATTCAGCGCGTTACATCATGAATAAATTGTTATTAACTTCAAAAAAAATAATCAAACTGAAATTATTAAATTAAATTAAAAGTAGAGTAGATTTTCTCCAAACCCTCAATCGGTTCTACCTTTCACGCCTTATTTTAAATATAGAACTTCAGGTCAAGTATGGAATCCTTGGAGTGCTTAAGGAAGGAATAACGTAATTAGGAATATAGGTTTAAGTCTTAGAATATGAGAGAATAAATTATTTTTTGGTGTACAAGAGAGGAAGAGAGAATGATTTGGTACCCTAAAACTGAGTAAATCAGGTTCATATTTATATAGAAAATATGAGGGGTGAAACTGGTGACGCGGGTGAAACCTAGGTCATTGATTACTAAGTATACCCGATCATAATCAAATTTATAAAACCAAACTCAACCTAAGCATTGGGTAAGTCCGGGTAAAAGCCAAGGGAATATGGTATATGCTAAAGTCTCTAGATAAGATATTCCGAAGCCTAGGTGAGGGTTGGTCTAAGCAGCACTACTACAAAAATAAGCTTAGAGAACTGTTGAAATAGGCTTTATAGAACGCTTTAGGACCGTTCTTCTGCTAAGCGATGTGTAAAGTTTATAAAACGGATAAATGAGGCGTTATGTATCCCTCATTATAGAGAACGGTCATTCGACATAAGCGTTCTCTATTCCCTCCCTAAAATCTAAATGTGTAGAAGGAAAAGGCAACGGTTTCCTTGCTTAACCGTTTTATATTATTATACAATAGAGAACGGTTTTGTAAGTTAACCGTCCTCTATTCTTTCTTATTCAATAAAAAAATTTGCACGATTTTCAGGTCAAGCAGCCTACATTAAATCAATATTTTTTTTAATTAAAAATTAAATTAAACAAAAATGGCAAAATTCCAACTCAAGATTAGTAAAAAGAGTTATAATACTTGTACAATTTAAATGCAAAATTATTGAAGTATTTGATAGCATAACAACAAAAGAAAACAATATACTTCGTAATTATCAATGGTTGAAATAGTCTATACCAAAACTATCGGTAACGAAATTAATAATACAATTATGATACAATTAAAATGCAAAAAAAAAAAAAAAAAAAAAACTAAGAGAAGATTTTTTGGCGATAAGCAGCTCTTCTCCTCTTCCTGCCTTTGATTAATCTGTGTAAAAAAATCATTCAATTACAATCAACCCAACTAACAAAAAGAATAAAAAAAACAATGTAATATACGAAGTATGAAACTGCACAACGCTATAAAATTATCCTCAAAATAAAGATCTGATTAAGAAGAATCAAGAAAAATCAACGATTAATATCAGAATAATCCATTACTCTCAACGTTCGCCGTTGAATTTCTAACCGTAGATTATTCAATCGTTGAACTCGCTTCTTCCAATTCTGTCGTCGTTGTTCATCGATTCTTACCTTTTCAAATTTGCATCGCTGCTCTGAGTATCAAAATTAAAAACCCCAACACAACACAATATTGCCTATCAAATTATACAGAGATTTTTTTCAATTTTTGCGAAAGTCTCCATAAAAAAAAAAAAGAATTAATTTTGATAGATTTCGTCACAACAAGAAAAAAAAACCCTCGATCATATCAAATAATTAACTTCGAGGACGTAGCAATTTAATTAAGATGGTAAAAAAAATTTGATCAATTGAAAAATAGAATCAAACCTTTATAGCCTTTGAGTTCTTGACCTGTGGTTGTGCAAACCCTTATTTTCCAATATATTACAAGAGCAACAAAAATGGGAACAAACATTTAGATCCGAAAATTTAAGTTATGAGAGATTGCATATATTTTCTTGTTTTGGAGAAGGAAGAGTCATATCAATTCATAAACGCAAATTTCGGAGTCAAAAACTAGAAAAAAGGAAAGTAGGCAACCATTTATTGAAAGATGATTGCGAAAGTAATTTAAGGGTAAAAGACGCACAACGGTTGTTACTGAACACCGTTCTATATCTACTTAAATTTTTTTATTTAATAATTTTTAATTTGTATAAAACAAATATAGAACGGTTGGGTAGTGAACCGTTCTATATTATTTAACATATACAACGGTTGGCATAGAAAGCGTTCTATTTTGTTATATAGAACGCTTATCTTTGTCACCCGTTTTACATTATGCGTTTCTTATTCTAGTTTTTGTAGTAGTGCAAACTAAACAACGTAATTAAATGAAAACAAGAATAATATTAAGGATGCTAGGGAATTAGGATCCACATGCACTCTTGACAATCACACTAATTAGGCAAGAATTCAACCAAGCATACAATGCGAGGGAAGGTAACAAATGCTATCAAAAACACTTAAAGAGCTATTTTCAAGGGTCAAGCTAGATGTCTCTACAAATGACTTCAAAGGAAAATTGCAAAATAAGATCAATCGACAATAATATCTTCCAAATCATTTTTTCGTATCAATGAAAACTATTATATAATCTAGCTTGATAGTTAAGGTTGATCACTCCTCAAGATATCAATCACATGCACAAATTTCACCAACCAATTTAATCATAATGATGATCAATCAAAATCCCTCAATTAGCCATGAACTATCACTCATACATGCTTCACCATATCCCTAACAAGTAATCTACTCACTACACATTGCAAATTTGAATAACAAAACTAAACTAATCACAAATTTCATCATCAACATTGTATTCAAAATAAACTCAAGCTATCAAAAATCAAATCAAAAATCAAATCAAACAAACAACAAGTAATTCAATCAAAATTCAAGAATCAAAAGCTAAAATTGCTTTAAAGAGTAAAGAATTCTTATAAAACTTTGATCAAAATCATAGAGGAACAAGATTGAAAGTAGCATTCATCAAATTCACCAAGTTTCTCTCTCTAAAATCTAAGAACAAAAGTTTCCACAATTTGAGCTTCTCTCTCAACAGTTCTAATAAAAATCTAATTCTAAGCTAATTCAAAACTCATACTTTCTCTAAAATTGAAGAAATTCTATATATATAGTAAAACTAACAAAGGAAGAGTTAGTTAAACGTCCAAAAAGAACCCCAATAGGCGCGACCTCTCCTCCACATACGCGGCCGCAATGAAATGGGTACAAAACAGGGGAAGGAGAGGTGTGTGGCAGCACCTCACACTTCCGCACCCGCGCTGTACTCATGCGCGCGCATGCCTGGGAGAAGGGCACCTCCCTCTCGTGCGGTCGTTGACGCTTCCATGGGCTCCACTTGATACATGTTGGGGGAGGCAGTCTCTAAAGGTCTTCACGGTGGGTTCAACACTGATTTTGATGTCCGCACAGCATGAGAGCGCGACCTTGAAGACTAAGAATTTGAACTTCTTCACTTTTGAGCTTCAAGAGGAGGAACCAACTTGCACCTTTGCTTCGAGAGAAGGTCATTTGGATCCTTAGACATCACCAATTCCTGAAATTCAAAAAAGGCAAACAAAAAAAAAGCGAAAAAGCAAAATAAACCAAGAAATGAAAGAAAATGAGAAAGCAACTAAAGAAAACACAAGGTAGAGAAATATCCAATAAAACTGAAGAAAGGAGATAAAAGAGACATAAAAACAACGAAAATTCATCCTAAAATAGGCTAAATGAGTGCCATAAATGACACTCATCAAACTCCCCCAAGCTAGACTTTTGCTCGTCCTCGAGCAAAACAAAAGCAAGAAGAAAAAGGATGAAAAATTTATTCAAACTAAGAAACGGGAAGAAAAAAATCAGAATGTACACTAAGACTCACTTTCGTAGGAATCACGGTTGTTTTTAGCCAAAACAAGTCCTTTAAACCCCAAAATCGCCAATGAGGACGAGTGAGGTCTTGTACGTAAGGTATCCTAAGAGTTGGACCCATAACTCTTGAGTGTAAAAATGAGGCAAACCATTGAAAAGATAGGAAAATCAAAATGGAAAATTCAAACAAATAGCTTTGGAAATAGACTTTTAAAAATGATCAAATGCAAGTGAATAAAAAACTTTCTATACAACAAGGGTATGCATGTTCCAATATATCCAAGGTTGATTGAAACATAAGATATGATAAGCATAGAGAACTAATGAGACACAATTCACCTTCATCCCAAACAATCTTACCATGTTCTTCCAACTAGCTTCAAATCCACCTTTAGTGAGGATCACAATGGTTCCTCAAAAAAACTGGAAAAGAAAGATATTTAAGGCTACTCAAACAATAGAGACCAAATGCTTCACAAAAACCAAAGATGGAAACAAGAATGGAACAAAAGGCTCAAAAGCTAAAGATGTGGCTTGAAAAGAAAGGTATATGGCTCAAATGGCTAGCAAGAAGGCAAATGTAAATCCAAAACAAAGAAAAGAAAACTATCCTAGAAAAGTAAAAATTACCACCCCAAAAAGATGCCTTTGTCCTTCCTAATGGCTCGGTCGCGATCTTGGGAGATAAGAGTCAAATTCTAGATAAGGAAAGCAATAGTCAAGGATCGACGCCGCTCATGCAAAATATGTTGAAAGCAAGAAGAAATAAAACCTCACATGGATGTAGCAAAAACTCACTATTAAATTCAAATTCACTAAAGGGAGAAACTCCTTCGCACCACAAACCAATGGAATCCAGCTACAAGGCCCCAAATGGTCTAAACCACTACCTTAGCATACCCTATCCTAGAATCAACCAAAGATACTCTCAAAACATGCACGTCGATACGACATAGGAAACTATTCATTCAAATGCAAAGGCTCGGATGGTATTATGTCCAAATGCAAAAGCTAAACAACTAAAAAGATGAAAACAAAGCCTCAAAATCTTTTTGTCTTTTCCATTTTGTGAATGAAAATTAAAAAACAAAAGGGAAAAAATAAGAGAAAGAAAATAAAAGGAAAAGAGAAAGAAATGTGAAAGAATGCATGCAAGACATGTAAAACCTAATCAACATACAAGTGGTCATTTGACAACATTGCCAATGACCCCAAACACTCTATGGTACGTGTTACAAGGCAAGCATTCTCGAACAATCAAATCTTTCTATACTAAACCTATTCCAAACAAACAAGAAAGAAAAAAAAGGAAAGAAGAAATAGAAAGATCTCACCAGGTACTCCAAGCAATGCTAATGAAGAGAAATAAGAAGAAGCATAAACCATCACGATGCTCCAAAAGCAAAAGCAAGGATAATACGCCAAATGAGAAATAAAATACTATATACAAAGAAAAATTGTTAGTAACTTCCAAACAAAAACTTGAAATATCTATGTTGGGATAGAAATGATCATAGAATCAGAGAAACAGAATGAAATGGCAGAGGAAAAACTCATCCAACCAGAAAAACAATCAATTAGCAGGAAAAACAACGACCAACAACATATTAATATCATATCATCATCATCCCAAAATAGTATAATCAGTATCATCAGACAGAAATCATCAGCATAAATAAGACAGAAACTCAAAGACAAATTCACAATGAACCATAGAAGCAAATAAGAGACCAAAGAAACACAAGAAATCATAAAAATACTCCCCCAAGCCTAATGTGAGCTACCCTTTCCCTCCTCCCCTCCCCCAAGCTAAAACCTAGCAAAAAGTAGGAAAAAAAACAACATCAATGCAAAACAAGTATAAAAGGGAGGGTAGCCAATGTGGTATCACTCGGCCTTATGGTATGGGGTAGAATGGGTACTCCCCTTACTAAACTCTAAAAATACTTGGCTAACAACAACATTAACCACCATCGGGCCTTTACCTCTCAACCTACTCTCCCTCTAAGCCTTATCCCTAGGAAAATAGTGAGACCAATCATCAAGAGTTGGCTCACCCGATAGCCCCCATCGACCAAAGGTTTCGTAATCAGAGAAATGGTTTGGCCGTTTGGGTTAGCCGGGTCATAGGTAAAATAACAACCTCCGAGCCTCTTATAATCATAGGAAGTTGGATTGGTCCCTCTAATTTCATTAGGGGCACATGGGGCCCCTCCCAAAAAGGGTAGCACCACGAAGGCCTTTGGTCCAGATCAAATGGGGTCCATTGGGGTACGGGTCCTTGTTAGACTGCTCTCCTCTCATGCAAGTCATATATTTTTCTTGCATGATAGTCATATCCTAGCACAAAGTCATTTTTTCAAAGAGGAAGAATTCAACATATTGGCAATGGAATCAATTTTTGCATGCAAAATATACAAACTACATTAAGAAGTAGACGATGGAGAGGAAGAGATCATAGGAGTACCTCCCCGGGACACTGGGGGTAAGTCATGAGGGAGAGTAAGAACGGGAGTACATAGGTTGATGCAAAGATTGGGCGGAGGAGTTTGCTTAAGAGAAGAATGAATAGGCTATCTGCTAGGTTGCCAAGGAAGAAGAGTACCTAAGCACCGAGCAGTGGCCTCCGGATGTGGGATAGGGCACCAATCGGTAGAAATAGAAACCTTCCAAATGAACAAATCCACTTTATAAATCCATTGCAAAAAATTTTGGTTGATCAGAGAATATGTGTTGAGGAGATAGGATAGGGACTTCTTTTGAAGGTCCCAAATGGGCTCAAGACACAAGATCATCTTCTCATACTTCTTGTTGAAAAGATCAATGATGGTGATCAAACCACCTAATTGGATGCTTCTAGAAAGAAATACATCATCACGAATATTAACAAACCAATAAAGAAATTGAATCCAAAAATCAATAACCTCGATCTCTTCAAATGGTTGATCCGCCAACCTTGACCAACTAAGCTCCTCCCTAGAGATGACATCAAGGGATTCCTCCGAGAAGAATGCATAGGTAAGTAACCAATTGAAGTACCTCAAAGCCGGATGAATGATTGAAGCCGCCTTGGAATATTGAGGTTGATATGATCCTTCGACCGAAATATGCCTCCACTAACGACCCTCATTATAACCATGATTGTTTTGCAACTCCTCAAAGGTCGGGCAGATATACTCGGAATCTTCCAAAGGGATGGGAAATTT